CGGGAGTCGGTGGGCTGGCATGCGCAACACGTGGCCGAACCATCGGAGCCTGGTGCTTGAAATAACGGTGCCGAGCGGTTCATTTCTTCTATTTGTGCTATAAACAAGGCGTCGAACACGCTCACTGCTCACGCGGTGTTTCCACCAGATGTAAGCCAAATTACGAAGGCACCGGCGGTCGAACTTAACTAGGCCCCTTATGTCTGCTGATCGGATGGGTCAGATCTCACCGCTGTAAAGGAGAATTAAAGGGACGGCTGCATTGTACACTCCACCCTTCACGGAGGGAGAGGTGTGGCGCCGCCGCCATAGGTGGCGTAGGTTAGCAAAAGCGCCCCGAGTTTTCGCTATGCGGTTTGTGATGTCGTCTTCGCTTCAAACGACGCTACTACAACTGCCGAGATGACTGAATCTTTAAACGACTTCTAGCTGATCCCCACCAAGGGTCAGCGAATGAGGCGCTCCCTGCCAATCTTGGAGGAACGCTTTGCACTTCGATGGTACAAAGCAAAGCCCGAAACTGCTGACAGCCATTGCTAATCTGTCCAGTGCAGCTTTACACGTCTGGGAGCTGTCACAGATTAGGGCAATGTCGTCTGCATACTCCAAGTCAAGAAGTCGTTCTCCTGGGAGCAGATCCACACCTAATTCGTGTCATGTTTACTAAACGTACATGGCTTCGTCAATAGCGAACTTGAACAGGAAAGATGATAGCGGACATCCTTCTCTTATACCACTGGGGATATTGAAGGGTGGTGACAGCTTGCCGTTAGCCCTCACTCTGCTCGTGCTACGCGCGTATAATGCTCGAATAATATTTACATATTTCTCGGGCACACCTTTCCTGAGTAGACAGTTTGACAGAGCACACCGAGCAACCGATTCCAAAGCACCTTTGATATCGAGGATCACGACAACGGTGGGCCGCCCGTATATGTGACGGTGCTCCAACAACTGACGCAATGTGAAGATGTCGTCAACGCAGCCACGACCTCGACGAAACCCGGCTTGCTCCTCACGAATCTGGCTTTCACGAGCGCCAGTCAGTCTGTGTAGGATTACAGAGGCAAGTAATTTGGAAGCGATGGGGATCAGACTGATTCCTTTATAGTTGCCGCATTCCGATCTTGAGCCTCCCTTGAAAATTGGGACTATGACGGAGCGGCTCCAATCGGTTGGGAAGTTTCTTGCTCCCACAGTTTCCCTAGTAATTTGTGTAAATCATCAACAAGAGCATTGCCCCCCGATGTCGAAGAGGGCTGGATGAAGATCATCTGGTCCCGTGGCTTTGTTTATCTTCAACAGTCCGATCTCACTTTTGACTTCTGAGCGAGAGGGTGGATCCAAAGGGACAGCCCACGGAGCGGGGCGATCACCAGCCGGTGAGGAATCGAACAATTCCGGCCGATTAAATTGCTTTTCCATATGCTCAGCCCAACGCTCCAAACGTTTTGACAAATTGTGGATAGGCTGTCCACTCTCGTCACAAATTGTTTCACTCACACCAGGTCTCCTGCTGCCCGTTTCCCGTATCAGACGGAATAACTTATGATGGTTACCAAAGGCAGCGGCCGTTTCCATCTCTATTGCAGGATGAGGCCACCAGGATTCGCGGTCTCCCTTCAGGCTAGCACGGAGTTTTGCCCGGAGCTCTTTGCGAGTTTCATTGTGTTCGATTCCAACCGGAATATGCCGGCGAGCATCTATAAGTTTCAGAGACTGTGAAGAGACCCAATGTCCATGTTGGCGATTAGACGTACCATATGAGGATTTTCCTGCTGCAAGTAAGGTCTGGTGAATATGAGACCAGTGAACTTCAGTTGCATCTAGTGAGCGTTTATCCAACTCGCATGACAGCGTATTTTGATAGGCACTCAGAACAGCTGGCTTCGCCACTTGGCTGGTGTCAATGCGCTCACAGAGTCCTCGTGGGCTTCCTCCAAAACGCATCCGCAGGTCAGCACACACAAGTGCATGGTCGGTGTCCACACTGTGCTCCAAATCGAGCGACAGTTCTGGACGCAGCCTCTCCAGCGGTAACTTATCGCAATGTGATCGATTTGCGTCCAAAGCTGGTTCGATGCTGGTGGGCGCCAAGTCACCCTTCGACGAGTACTGTGTCGGAAATTAGTGCTCGCAAGAAATAAGCAAGCAGCCTTACACAAATGAAGTAACCGCTCACCGTTATCATTACGGAGCCTATACCATGTTGGCCGCCCAGATGCAACTCATCTGTGGATAATTTTCCAACTTGAGCGTTCAGATCCCCACGCCAGCACAACAGTGTCCGTGCTTCTTCTGTGGCGAAGAAGCTGGGTCAGTTGGCGTTAGAAGTCGTTTTTTACCGAATCATTGCTACAGTTTGTGGGCGCATAGGCAGCGATGACGAATAGACACGTAATAGTCCCGCGCGACTTCGAAGCTTTGAACAAGCCAGCCAATCGGACTGCACACATCCGGCTACTGATTGGAATCCAATCAACCAGAGTAACTTCAGCCCGGGCACTGCTGGCAATGCCAACAATAGCTTGGCCGGTGCTCGAAGCTGCATTGTCACCGGATATGCGCAATGAGAAAATGCTGCTGATGTCACCTGAAGGGGATCGCAAAGTGAACCCAGAGCTCGAGTCTTGCAGGCGAGTCTCCGATAAGCAGCAGATATCGATTGAGATGGTCTCTCATATTCGGGCATGTGCTGCCTGTTGACCGATATGTAGCAATGTGCGTACATTGAGGCATGCCAATCTGAAGTAGGGGCGAGGGTTCCAAATGGAATCCGATGAAGTGGAGTGGACCGTTTGGTTAGACATGGGCTTGTCGACAGGACAGGAGTGACGCTCCGCGTTATCATGTGAGTTGACATTAGAAGATAAACGTCTAGCAAAGCATGTTGGGGGTGGACCAAGAACCGGAGGGTTGAAAACTGGGGGGATAAAAGTGAAGTTGGAACGGGACCATAAGGGAGAAAAGCGTAAGAGGGGCAAGGCTTGAGCAGTAGCATCCAAACCCCTGTGCACCCTGCTCGATGCAGCAGATAGGGCACCGTTGATTATCCTCTGCGGTGGCCAGAGCATCAGGAATTTATTTGAAGAGAGAATCATTGTACGAACGTCCTGCTCTTGGGGATGGTACTGATTTATATTGGAATGGTCGAATGCCATCGTTTTGCTATTTAGTAGACTTAAAGGTACGCAGTGAAACCTCCACAGACTCTTCCGAGTTATTCCATCCGTTGTATTACGCTTTGTGTTTTCAATGCGCGGAGTGCTTCCGCGAATAGCTTCTTCTTTGTCATTTATGTCGACGAATTGTAGATAGTTATTGCAATAACCAAAATGACATTCGCGTTGACAATGGCGAACGTATGTTTGTTTAAATTGGCTCGCTTTTTGCGACAGCCAAAAGTGCCTTGATGGATCTGAGGCATCTGTTGCTGCAGGAGCGCTTTTTCCCTCCTTTAAAAATTCGTATTTACCTAACCACAGCGAGGGCTGTTCTCCTCTGTCAGAGTGAAACTCGACTTTTTCAGTTTTAGGACCCGAGATACCTTGGCATTTTTGATCATCATTTTTTGCGGAGCATTTCTTATATCGAGGGTATTCGGTGTGCCGAAACAATGAGGCTCACGGGTGACTACTGCATCACCATGGACAAATCAAGCTCAGTGGTAGAGCAGCGGACCGGAAATTCTTGGACCGGGGTTCGATTCCCCGTCGAGACATATTATTGTGCGTGAATTTTAATCGTGACTTCTACTTTCTACAAACTTTACCCTACTCACAAACATCCAACATTAATCTACCATCGCCCATTGGACATTCGAAGGACAGGTACTTCAGCCCATTGGGAAGTGACGGGTGAGTGAGCCAATCTGCAACACCAGGACAGGTACTGTGAGCCCATTGGCAATACGTCGCGCACCAAGCAGAAGTCACGTGTTAAAATTTGCGCATCTAATCGTCAGCCCTCGGTAGCTCAGTGGTAGAGCAGCGGACCGGAAATTCGTGGACCGGGGTTCGATTCCCCGTCGAGGCATATTATTGTGCGTGAATTTTAATCGTGACTTCTACTTTCTACAAACTTTACCCTACTCACAAACATCCAACATTAAATAATTACATTGGCTTGTGTACGCGTTACTTATGTCAACCCATTACTTGTTGAGGTGACTGGAACACGTAAGCGTTGGGTGTTGATTTGCTCTCAACTCTGCACTTTACGATCAACTTTGTGCTTGTTTGCACTCTTCGGGTAGAGATTATCGCACAGAGAATCGTGATCGGAGCATGGAGGTTCTGTTGCGGGAACTTCAATTGATTCCGCAAATATATGCACCCGCGGCACAGACTCCAATACTCGATTGCGTAAGCAAAGGGCTACGCTGCGTGGCACTCGCAGTGTGACCGGGGGCCTTCCAAATCACGCCGCATCGGGGCTCCAAGAACAAATCCCGCCGAAACTCACGCCCGACGCAGTGAGTAATTTGCGCTAAAACTCATGTGGTGTCTCTACCTGTCACCTTCTGTTGAGTCAGTAAAAGCGCTCGGCGGAAGACCTATTTGTCTGTCTCTCTCCCCATCTTTGGTCGGGTTGCTTAGCATAATACTGTCCGGTGATACTGGAGCCCTGAGTAAAGTAGTCCACTAACAGGACTTTGTCTTAGTCAACGGACGTCAGGATTTGTTTGGCGGATTTTCGGATGCAGTACTCCTTCGGCCGTGGAGACCAACCGTTGCGCCATTTGTTTGACCGTTCCTTGGCTTCAGGATCGTACACATAAAGCCATATTTTCTCCTTAGTCATTAATCTAGTCAAAAGGGTCCTGTGCGGCCTAAAATAGGCCAAGATGTTTTCGGATGATTCAGCTTGTCTCTGCCTATGGTAGCTTGTCAAACGTCTACGTACGCACTTTGCTGCCAGCTTATGTATGTTCAGGATAGTAGAGATAACATGCCCAACACGCTCTCATGAAAAGTCAAGTATCTGCTCAATCCTTTGAGCGAATATTCGCCTGTCCTCCACAATCAGTTCATGAACCGCATCGCAGCTTGTTGGGTAAGTTGACATTTGGGTATACCCACTGGGAGGATCATATTGGTTGTTGAAATGACCCCTCTTTAAATGAGATATCCAGGTTTTGACAGTGTTGTAGACAGGACAGTTTTCCCCTAGCATTTGTGGTATATCATCTTGAATTTTCTTTACCGACTTTTTTGATAAATGAAAACTTCATGACGGCCCGTAACTCAAACGACTTGAAACTTAGTTCTGCATCTGACATCACACCTTCTACCTAAAATAACCCAGGTTGTTATGATCACAAAATGTGATGTTTCCACTGTCAGTTACTACGATATTAAGGTTTCATATGTCCCTACACTTTACCTGTCTTGTATGGAAGGGAGCAAAGCTAGGAACTTACCAACACCTCATTCGTTCTCAGCCCACGCGCGACTGTCGATGGTCGCGTGGCAGTGGTGGTACGGTGTGCCACCGTACCCATGATACCCACGCAGTACACGTGTCATGCATACTTCACGGATGTCGCACCGGCGTACCTTGATTTAACCGAGCGGGTTACCGTCGTCGTTAAGTGTATGTGTCTGAGTAACAGTACCTATGACACCAACGGGAACTCATGTTCTTGTGATCATCAGGTGCGACGGCAACAGTACCGTACCTCTGGTTTTCACGTGCTCGCCGAGCTTAGCGATTGGATTGAAACTATATTTCCAAGCTCGATGAATACGTGAAGACTAGAACGATCAACCTGAGCTACTGCTGTTTCCAATCACTTTAACTACCAAGTTTCATGGCGACCATGCAAGGCGTCGTATGGAGCACCGGTTTGTAGTCCTGTCCAAGTGAATGCGTACGTTCTAGCATCCGAAGTGTTGCTCTGTTTGCACCGGGGCATGTGATTGGACCGGGTAAACGCTCGAGTGGGTCCATGCTTAGGGAGTTTGAATTAGGATCGGCATAGGTAGGGTGGGTTGATTGAAATGGGAACTGAGATAGGTGAGGGTAGAGGGGAAGGAAACGAAAAAAATGAGAGGCACCGGCGGTAGCATTTTCCGTTTATTCATCTCCCCATATGCAGCAGACCACGCGACGTTCTCTCCACTCAGTGGCGGCCGATGGTTCATTAAGCTCTGTGACTCTTGTACTTGTCCTATTTAGTAGCTAAACTGACACTGCAAGGACAGATACCTGAAAAGCGCAGCAAGTCGGCTCATCAGTAAAATGTTTGCTCAGTGGACTTCTCCAAAACGGTGGAAATATCACCATGAGTCAATGGACTCCACGTGCTTTGACTTCGACAGCGGCCAATTTCGGGCTCACCATCAACACAAGCAAAACTGTCTGTCTCTTTCGACCTTCACCAGAGGTGCAATCTTCAATATTGCCGCAAATCAGCATTGGTTACGGCGTATTGAAAACCAATTCCCGCTTCTGCTACCTTGGAAGTGTGGTGTCGACTGATCAGCGGCTTCATGCGGGAAGCTTGAATACCGAGTGTGGAACAACCATCAGCTTAGCATTGGCACGAAGCTGATGGTGTACAAATTCATGGTGCTGTCCGTTCTTCTGTACGGCAGTGAAACGTGGACAATATACCGGCGGGATGTACGATATCTCGTGCGATTCCATCAACAGTGTTTGCGACGGATTCTGCGCATCGGATGGGGTGACCGAGTTACGGACATGGAAGTGCTGCATCGAAGTGGAATGTATGCAGTGGACTGCATACTTTTGCTGAGACAGCTGTGGTTGCTTGCTCATGTGTGGCGTATGGATTCGACGCGGATACCCATGCAGTTATATTATATGATCAGCTGAGTATTGGGAAGCGGTATGTAGGGAAACCAAAGTTACGTTACCAGGACATGATCAAAGGGAGGCTTTCACGTTCGAATCTTGATTGCAGGTCATGGGGATGGAAAGTGGTTGATTGGCGTTCATAGCGCGATCTGATCCCGAAGGTCGTTGTCGAGGTGCAAGAGAAAGCCCTCGTGCATGCAGAAAAGAAGGGGCAAGTGCGGAAGCGACAGACGCCGACGGGTTATACTTCATCCACATGGGGCGCATGGTGCTGTAGCACATGCGGTCGCGAGTGCCAGAGTCAGGCAGGCCTAGTGAGCCATGAGCGAGACCGCTCGGAACCACCACCAAAACGACGACGAGTCCTGCAGAGAACGTAGGCAGAACCAGCGCAGCGTTTGTAGGTACGTTGCGTTCGATTTACTAACGGCGTGCTTGCATGCTAAGTCTCTTTATTTCAAGTGGTGGGTTTGCAATTTCGTCCTAATGCTTTTCTCTCTCATATTAATGTCTACAAGTACTATATTCCATAAACTTGCACACGCCGTTGAAGCTAATTGTAATTGATTTCGATAACATTTCGCGTTTGTTGCCTTTTCTTAAACTACACTTTCTGACCTCTTTAACTTATCGCGGATTCGTTCTGAATCACTTTTTTATACGTCCATTTAGTGTAAAGTTGTCTCCGTATCTGTATGTATTATCCGATCTATTTTATCTCATCTTGTCATTTCAAGTAATTGGCTGTTGCTTGTCATCCCCGGTGTGAATGTGCTATATATATATATATATATATATATATATATATATATATATATATATATATATATATATATATAACCGACTGGATTTTTTAACGTCGCGCAAAATTCTTCTTTCAAGTTTGCGTTTTGCATTTGGTTAATGTTTTGTTTCCAGGACTGTTTCTTGATTTTTGCTCTGTCACTTTTGCTGATTACTTCTTGTTTTCTTCGTTCAACTGATTGCCGGGGTAGAGCACTAGATTTGTGAAAATGAATTCTCTTAGTTATGCTGCTGTTTTATGGATTCACTGCGCTTTGGATGCAAATAGTAAACTTGTCTTTACATCTTATCATTGTTTACAACGGCCGTACCGCGGTCATCTCAACCGTTTTCATGTTATCTTTCAGTTCACCTAGGCTAAACAGATCCCCTCTGAATACCATTGCGTGATCGACTAACTTGCCATGGCTCGTTTCACCATGCAAATAATGATGGTAATCTTGTTACTAACAGCATTATCGTTTTTAAGAATGGAAATAAAACATGATTTTTCGCGGATGCGCAGGATTCGCTTTCCACTTATTCTCTGTTTCTTTTACCAGGAATTTGACCTGATACAGAAACGCGAACTCGCCCCTCTTCAGCAACTGATCGATTTGTTAACGGGTGCACGAGGTGACAAGGCTGAAATCGTCTCGGAAGCGAAGACAGAAAACACGCCGTCTTTGCAGTCCGTTGCCATTTCTCATGAGCAAGAACCTCAGCTGAGCCCGGCACGATAGCGGCTTACTAAGCTTACTTTTGTTCTAGCTTTACGGGACGAAACTCGACAATCTCACCTATGCTTACGAATGCGCATCATCGCCTTTTGACCCTAAGTGCTATCTGGCGCTCTTTGCCGACCTCCTTCTCAGATGTGTTCGTTTCGCGCTGTGCAAATTTCTCGTGTTACTTTATTCACTTTTGATTTCTCTTTTAATTTTTTCCTTACCTGTACCCTCTTTTGTTTTTATCTCCTCCAATCATGCTCTGTATGCTAGAGTGAAAGTCAGCTACTACTTTCTGCTTGATTTACTATTTTTTGTGCCCGGTTTTTGTTCAACGAACAAATATGCCGACAGCACGATAGTGTTGCTATGGGCTCCCCACTGGGGCCATTTCTCGCTGACGTGTTTATGGGTATGCTAGAGTAGCGCAACTTAAGATCGGTTGGCATCTACTGCGGTTACGTCGATGACATCTTTATACCACGTTTAATCAGGCGCACACAGCTCTAAAGTTTACATTTGAAGTGGAGGAAGATAGGTCTTTTCATTTCCTTGATGTGGCCATGAAACGACTCGATGATGGTGAGCTACAACTTCGTATGTACAGGAAACATACTTGGAATGGATAATACACGAAATTCTACCGTTTTGTTACACTTAAATCAAAACGGAACCTGCTTTTCAGTTTAATGAGTCGGGCGGAAAGAATTTGCTCGAACGACCCGTTGTCTAAGGAACTGCAGCGCATACGCTTGACTTTAAAGGAAATTGCATACCCGGATAGCTTCCTTGAGACCAACATGGAGCAAAGAAGGAAAGCTCCTGTAACTCTCAGAGCCAGAAAGAAACCCATTTTTCTACATTTACCTTACAAAGGTGAAGTCGTTACCGAGCTTCTAACTCGTCGTTTTTCTCGCGCTCTCAGGGACACCTTCCCAGCAGCCAAAATGCAGATTCAATTCACCAGTAGCCCGATGGTAAGAACTAACCTAAATGACAAAAGGCCTGTCCACGTCAATTCCATGCGCGTCTACTCGTTCACCTGTTCTTGTGAATTAGGTTACCTTGACTGTACGACGAGGCGCCTGTTTGACAGGGTGAGGGAACACCATCCGGCCTAGATTGCAACTGGGTGCCGAAAGCTAACCAACTCATCCATAGCCATGCATCTTGCCGATACAGACCATTCCCCCAATCATGTGGCAAATCAAATTGCCAAACTGGACATTGGGTCTACACAGTCTCTGGAAACTATGAATGTTCGCCGGCGTATTCCGGCTGGAAGCGAATACAATGAGGCTCGCAAAAATCTCAGGGCAAAACTGCGTGATAGCCTGACGAAAGACCGGGGAGCCTGGTGGTCTCATCCTGCCTCGGAGATGCAAGCATCCGCGACCGTTGGTAATCATCGTAAGTTATTCCGTCTGATACGGGAAACAGGCAGCAGAATACCTAGTGTTAGCGAGACCATGCGCGACGAGAGTGGGCAGCCGATCCACAGCCTGTCAAAACGCTCGGAGCGTTGGGCTGAACACTTTGCAAGGCAATTTAACCAACCTGAGTTATCGCTTTCTTTTTCGGGCATTGAGCGCCCTTCTGCCTGGGCCGTCTCCTTGGATCCACCCTCACGCGCATTAATCGAACGTGAGATCAGACTGTTGAAATTGCATAAGGCCGGAGGGGCAGAGAATTCCCCCAGCCCTCTTCAAATTCGGGGGACCTGCTCTAGTAGATAATTTACACGAGTTGCTAGTGAAACTTTGGGAGCACGAGACTGTCCCGACAGACTGAAGCCGCTCCGTCATTGTCCCAATTTTCAAGTTAGGCTCCCATTCGGAATGCGGCAATCATATAGAGATCAGTCTGATTTTAATTGCCTCTAAATTGCTTGCTTATGTCTTTCTCGCCAGACTGACTGGCACTCGTGAATGCCAGCTTCGTGAAGAGCAATCCGGGTTACGTCGAGGTCGGGGCTGCATCGACCACATCTTCACCTTGCGTCAATTTTTGAAGCACGGCCATGTTTTTTGACGACCCTCCCCATTGGACAACGGCCATTGACAGTAAACTGAGGGTTTTACCGGCCCTTATACTGTGTCTACTTTTCGGTCTTTTTTGCCTCTAATTGTACAAGTCTGAGGAAGAATTGTTGAAAACATGTGTTCGCTTGATAACATTGAGTTGTCATCGCCCCGAAATGCTTTCTTCAAGGGTATATAGCTGAAGCGTTTAAATGCTGAACCGTTCCACTGCTTCCTCTCTGACCATTCCAGCGTTGAGTGTTACTTATTTCTAACCCCGCACTCCACGACTGCTTTCGTGTCCGTTTGCACTTTTTAGCTAACCAAACTGCCAGTTCAACCCGCTAGGTAGTGATCATCGGCTCCAACACTTAACCCTACGTCACCGACTCCACGGTCCTCTACTCACACACCGGTCACTGATTTAGTGTTGTTTTTGATTTGAAATTACCTAACATCTCCCCTGTCTCAAATATACTTTTGGTGACCGAACTGGCCAACTTCCGATCACAATGATCTGCGGTATCCATCGAAACTGCCTGTTGCAGCCCATTCACACAGCGGGTGCCTCCAGCGTAACTGGCAGCATCACACACATCCCGAATATCACCGGACAGCCATTTCATCCTATTGGGTTTCGTGTCCCAATGCCAGAGTAGGGCAACCTCCAGCAACAGAAGAACAAGCACGGTGGCAAGCTGGAGTCTGTTAGAGACCAAGGACGTCAGTTGAATTACACCGAAAAAAGCGTTTTAGTTATAGCTCGATTAGTCATGGGCGTTGATCACAAATCTGTCAATCGATGCGTTTCCGGTCTGTTTCGACCTGATCAATGCGCATTAGTTTGTTCTGACACCGTTCTCAGCTTGGTCTAACCTTAGGGCAGATGGTTGACTGTCAACGGATCGCGAACTTTGTTGATTCGCGTTCGAGAAACCGCCCCCTCCTGGCGCTGGATTCCGTCAGCAGCACGCATTCCTCGACCAAACCAAGAGCTGAACTTGACCTATTGATGCTCCTAGGCCACGCGGGACGGCGGTAGACCGTTATGCTTGACAGAAAACTGCGACATAGCGTGGATCGCCATTGCCATGAAGGCTGTGGAATGTGTAAAAGTCAGGGTTGGCCTCCAAAGCTACCACTTCCCGTACAGCAGCAATGTGCAACATAGTATTCGGAGGCTTCTCGGTAGATCCTATCGCAACGAGACTGCACCTGAACGTGGTGCGATGGTTTGCGTACCTCCGTGACTCCTTGAGCTACGCTGGGTGGCATTTTCTAAATGCCTTCAGAGCCGTTCATACCAGATAGGTCAATTTTTAGGTGTCAGACTAATTATCATAATCCAATCCTCTTCAAACGTCGGAGAGAAGTTGATGGTCCTCTTCCTTTAAATGTTGGTCTTAGGAGACAACTGGTCTGCGGGTTTTAAGCTCAGCTCGATTCGCGTAGAGTTCGAACGCCATGCGTTCTCTTTGACGGTGGGGGGGGGGCACCGCTGGTGTTCAGGAGCTTACTACCGCCCGCCACAAGCCATGCAAACCAGCCAACTCCCACCTGCTGCTGGCCGTGATCGCAGGCTTTTGAGCCAAAGGCTCCGGGTGGAGTCCCTCAAGCGAACATCCATGTACCTCACTGCCTTGTGGGTCAGACTGTTGAGTCAAAGACTAGAGGTAGGGCACCTCGAACAAAATCTGTCTTCCGAAATGGGCAGCCGGTGAGTATCATCTGCCTCTCGACCCGTGGACAACGCTGTCTCTTCTTTTTCTCTCACCTTGTCTATTCAGCAAGAGATTGCCGCTGACCTCGTAGCTGCTGCCATTGATACATGTAACTCGTCCCTGAAACCAGGTGTCTCATTTCAAATTTGTTTAGTTTGTATACTCTGGTTCAGATCGGACAACACTCAGCACTAATTCTCACTCTTCACTCCCTTGTTATTGATATGCGCTATGTCTCCAAAACACGCATACAAGATAACAGTGTTGTGATGGATCTTCGACTTCCTGGTTCGGAATCTACTGACAATAACTAAACTTCGCCTTTCTGGCGATACTGAATAAATGGCTCAAGGTATGTGCGGTGTTCGTTTTCCACTCAGCAAGCATGCTGAATGCAATCTCCTCCACTAGATACCAGTGAACAACCTTAGGTATACTGTTTGATTTCGAACTGTTGTTAGAGTTAATAAGCACTGTCCGTGCTTCTACTGACTGCAGTTCGGAGGGTATCAAAGACAATTTCTATCGTGTGCTCTCATTTCTTCTTCGCATGGCGAAGCATAATGACGTGATTGTTGCTCGTGACTTGAATGCTCAGAACTTGAACAAGACCTAGGAGGCAGCTTTGGGTTCGATGCACACCGAACAGACAATGAAGATCGATTCCTGCAAGTATGCGCTGACCACAATCTTTGTCTTAGCAACACGGCTTTCCAGCACAAACGTTCACACCGCGTCACCTGGCGCCCACCGAATTCCTAAATGACCTGGACCCAAATTGCCATCATCTACAGATGGCACACATCGGTCCAAGACTGTCGGTCTATTTGGAGCATGTGCCTAGATTTCCACCATGCTCTAGTGCGCACACGCCTGGCGCTTACTCTTCCCGCTTCAGAGAAGTGCCAATCTTCTAACCTTACCTGTAACTTGAACTCGCAGTCTGCAGTTTAACAGTATCATGACGAACTGGCCCGGCAATTATCAGTGATGAATGAGGTTGGCGAGCCGAACGTGAACTGGGATTGTCTCCAGTCTGCCATGAGAAATGCCTTTGACTCATGCAGTGCACCCAACTTGAGACATCGTAACTGTGAATGGGGGTCACATCACTGAGGAGGTTATTTCGTGTGTCATCAAGACCCGTGTGGCTTTTCAGAGACTCAACCATCTATGCAATGTCAGTCTGTCAGTGGAAAGTAGGGTGTACAACGCTGCGATAACACCAGGGTTACTGTATGGATCAGAGACCTGTGCAGTTCGCGACGAAGACATTAAACACTTGGCCGTGTTTGACCACCGGTGCTTGCGTGCTATTTCTCACATCTGGTGGGGACGCCGGGTGAACAATACTGGAGTCTGCCGATTGGTTTTTGGCAAGAAGCCTTCTGGTGTCTCACTCGAGTATTTGCTGAATCTTGATCGCTTACCCTGGTTAGGGTATGTCCTCCGTATGCCCGTTGACGACTTCCTCGGCGGGCGTTATACCCAGTGGCTACACCAAGTTGGTCGAAATCTTGAGGTGGCCAGTCGATGAAGTGGCATAGAGGTTTGAGGAAATTGGCCAATAGAATTGGACAGGCTAGTGCGTGCCGTCTCCGTGGATTGGAGACCCTTTCAGACATTGCGTAGTCACGCA